GTCGTGTCTGTTGTATTCCCTTTTCGGGATATCTCTGGGAAAAAAACTGTGTTGTGATGTTCGCTCTGCTCTCCGTCTAACAATAACAATTGTTATATGCAAAAGGGTAAATTCCATGTTTGGTCACTGAATTTACTAAAACGTGTCATGTTTAGTTACTGGAAAAACTTAATATCAATAATGGAATTAAGTTTAGTAAAATATGTAATGTTTGGTCACTTTCCATTAGTCTCAATCCAACTCCGTTAATAAAGTCCATTACATGCTGACGTGCCAAACAGAATTGTCTAGTCACTGGATTTAGCCTGAGAATACTTAACCCGACCCGCCACATTATCACAACCCGCCACATCACCACAACCCGCAATATTTGGTAATATGTGTTTTGAAAAATCCTTAATTGTTGATGATTTGGTTCATTATGGATTTGGAAAACTCCATTGTTGGTTTGTTTGATTTGTTTATGGATTTAAGATAGGATACTCTTTAATTGCTATGTGTTTCAACCAACAATTGTGCTATCATACCAAATGTTATGCTAGATAAGTTCGTGATATGACATTTCGTACTTAAACTGTGATTTAACTGTCTGGCATGATTTTTTTTATCAGACACCTATACAGTATGGTTTCACAAAAACTGGTTTCGAAAAAAAAATCTAAAAATATTCAAGATGTAAAATATGGAGTTGTTAGAGCATCCACATTGGTATTGCATTTTCAATTGCAAATTGACACGGCATAGGTGTTTGCAATTGCAAAACCAATTGCATTGATGTGGTTACCAATTGCATATTTGCAATCTTGCAACAAATGCAATTCCATATGCAAGCGATTTGGTTTCATTTCTATTCTTGCGGTACCTAATACTATTAGACTTTTTTATAGCCAACAATTAAATCATCCATCCATCAAATAAGGATTTTGTCTATTAGTCCTAAATAATGAAAAAACTAGTCTGGAATCTTGAAACCCTTATTCGAATCCCTCAAATAGTACCATGAAGAAAAAAATTATCATTCGTAAAAAAACTAAAATTTCACCATAAATTGCAAGAAGAATTTTACAATGCTTTAAAGCATTGGTGTCTTAGTTTTTACTTTTATGGTACAACTTGAAATTGTACCTTTAATGTTATGGTACAACTTCATGTTGTACCTATACTGTTTTGTATAAATCTTTTTACGGTACAAATTAAAGTTGTATCTTTACATTATGGTACAACTTTAAATTGTACGACAACATAAAGATTCAAATTCCCTTACTTCAATTTATATCTTTAATGTTATAGTACAGCTTTAAATTGTATTTTAAAACACCAATATTTTAGAGTATAATAGAACTACTTGCAATATTCAAAACCATCATGTGATTGAAAATTGGTTGTCATGCCGGTGGCATGCCACCCGGTTGAATCTGGTTCAACCTGTGCCGGTCATGAAACCGGCATGACACTACCGGTATGACCGGTATGATCGACTTACGCATTCTAAGTAAAATGACATCATTTTAATGAATTTAATGAATACAAATAATAATTTATTATTCATTTTATGAATGTAATAGTTAAAAGTTGATGATATTTGTTGGATTGTAACTAAATTGTCCACAAATATGTTTTATATATGACTAAATACATTGAATATTAATTGTTTTCACTTTTTTTAAATCGGCATGAACCGACACAAACTGGTTATACCACCGGTCGTACCATTCCACTTGCCAAACCGGCACAACGATATAAACCGGTTTGACAACCTGTGTGATTTCCATTCTTTTATTACGGAAAACGAGAGGTAAGAAAAAGAAAAAAATATGTGCCGAATAAGATATAGCTCTACCTACCTCGCACAAAAGAACACTGCACATTGCATGATTTGCCACTTGCCATTATTTTTCAAACTTGGTAATTGGAATTAGCAATTTTTTTCTACTTTTTTCCTGCAATAATTGCCATTATGATATCTGCAAAAAGATTCGTGTCTGCCACTCTGCCTGCGAGACAAAAATATTATTTTGATTAAATTTTTTAATAAAATATTAAAAATCTTTCCAATTTCAGCATTAGGAAATTGAAAAAAGACTTTTGGTGATAACGTGGAGATGATAAGTTGATAACATCTATCACATTTTATGTTTGAATTTTGAGACTAACAATCAACAAATTCTTCGATGTAATTGTTTTGAATTCCGAGGCAAGTAATTTCTTCGATAGTTAGTTGTTTATTTATTACTGTTACTTCTTCCATAAAAAATAATATTATCGTTACTTCTAGGAAACTATACTTTCCTCTCCTCTCGCTTTCCTCCTTCCTAAACAGGTAGGGATGACAATTTGAACTTGCTTCATTGGGTATTATCCAACTTGATTTGAACTAGCGCGGGTATCCGCAATAGCGTGAAGTGGGCATGAGTTACTACTTCCGACCTGCCCCGCCCCATTCTTGACTAGTTCCATCTCAATTTTCTTCAACATATTTCTGTATTTTGCCTATTTCGATCATAGTTTCGCGCAATGAAACTTTAAATAGGTGTAAGACTTGACTTTTCAATTATTTAAACTCTATTACTCGTTCTATCATCACTATTTTTCGTTCATGAAATGCTTTTCTTTGTTCTATTTTCTTCAAATAATATGTGAGAATGAGTCGACCCGTCACGTCCCGTACCCACATGGGTATTATACAATCTCACTCACACTTGATCGGACGGATATGAGTATTGAGATACTCGTCTCGCACCCCTGTTTGCCATCTCTATAATCAGGGGTAAGATATCGCACGTGAAACACAACTTTTCGTGACGATATGATAAAAAAATAGGGCTAAATTACACGTTTGTTCACTCAAATTAAATTAATCTTTCACGTTTGCCACCCAAATTACTTTTCTTTCTTATTCGCCACTAACTTTTTGAATCGTTTCACCGTAGTCACCGACCGTCAGTCTCCGTCAGACTCCGTTAGTTTATTGATGACGTGACAAACAGAACTGCTGACTAGACCATTAAGTAAATGGTATTTTAATTTAAAAAAGGAAGAGGAGTGGGTCCCACCTTCCCCTTCCCCATCTTCGTCCTTTATCTTCCTCTTCCCTGGCGTTGACGCCGCCGCCGCTGCAATTAGTGCTACCGCCCCAGATACCTCAACTCCTCCTCCTTCCACTGCAATTCTATCCTTCTAAGTCCTCTCTTTCTCTCTCTCTCTCTCTCCGCCGCCGCTGCAACTAGGGAAAGGATCGATGGAGACCGCCTTCCTTTTCAAAAGGGAAAGGAACGACCTAGATTGTCGATCTAGACATGCATCCACACACAGACGCAACAATCCTTCATAATTCTGTCTCCTTCAAAAACCACAATCCTGGCGTTCTCACAAATCAATTAACTCCTGCTTTCCATCTCTCTCTCTCTCTTTTTCTCGTTCCGTCGCAGAAATGGATTGCCTCACGACTCTTAAATCTTCTCCCCAGCACCATTTCAGTCTTTCTCGCCTTTTCGCATATCCTTGTTCCGCAGATTACCCAAACCCATCTCTCGATTCACCTCCTTCCGCCCTCTCCCATCGCCAGCCCCATCCAAACCTCATTGCTCCTTCCTAAGCCGACCCTTCAAACCATGTCTTCTCCCCCTCCAATTCACCTCACAAGAATCAATCTCGTAGTGGAAGCAGCCGCTGCAACTAGGTAATTGATCAACGGAGATCACCTTCATTTTCACAGGGAAAGGATCGGCAGAGATTGTCGAGAGAGAGAACTTAGAAGGACGAAATTGAGGTGGGAGGAGGATATGTCTCTGGGGTGGGTGTTCTGGGGTTGGCAGGCATCAAATGAAAATGAAGGCGGCTCGGATGGGAAGGGAAGATAGAAAGGAATTAAACAAAACCAATGCTAGTTGCAGCAGCGGAAGGTTGACGTCGGGGAAGAGAAAGATAAAGGTTGAAGATGGGGAAGAGGAAGGTGGGCCAAGTACTTTGCCTTCTTTAATTTTTTTAATTTTTTAAAATTAACATATCATTAACTTAACGGTCTAGTCAGCGGTCTGTTTGTCACGTCATCAAAAAACTAACGAAGTTAACGAAGACTAACGGTCGGTGACTATGGTGAAACAATTCGTAAAGTTAGTGGCGAATAAGAAAGAAAAATTATTTGGGTGGCAAATGTGAAAGATTAATGTAATTTGAGTGACCAAACATGTAATTTAGAAAAAAATAGTGATGAACAGAAGATAATATTATCTTGGAAGAATAAAAAATGGAATTGGTCAGAATCAAGGAGCCCGCCAGGCCAGCTCGGCTTCTCTATTATTAAATATCATGCACTTACACATGTTTTTGTCGGTAAACAAAAAATGAAATATCTTCAAAAAAATGGGGTCTTCAAACAAATGGTTGTCAAAAAAAAAAAATTCAAACAAATGGGGTTTTCTGGAAATTTGCTTCGGGTTGTTTCAAGGGGCATGTGATGTTAATGCATACATCGAGCTGCATGCAGGCGGCGGGTTTTGGAAGGAATCCACCGGCCGGCCGGTCCGTCCAACAGCTTTCAGAAGAGGTTCGTCCGGTTGGGCAGGGTTGGGTCATGGGTAGGTTTGTATCATTACCGTATGGGCTACCAATAATGATTCGTTGGTGGGTGAATATTGGCCGCAGCGAACTTTCAGACGAGAAGGCAGCAGATAGAGTGGATAAGGATGCAAATGAGTTGAGTCGAGTTGAGTTTTACTTCAGTTTGAGCTCAATTCGTTTATTAACGTGTTGAGTCGAGTTGAGCTTGAGCTAGTTTGTTTACTAAAATATTAATTATTATTTGGTACTTCATTTTGTATATTATGGTACATATGTTTTATTTTGTTAGCTAATATATCATACTATACTTTATTGGTATCATATATAATTTAGTTAATAAATTTTAACTACTACAAATCATATTATTTCATATTATCGAAGCAATCTATGATACATAATTTCTTTTCAAAATAGTAAATAAGATATATTTGCTCACATACTCAACGTGTTAAACTTTATATATGGCGAGATATATAATTTAACAACCATATGAATTAAAATCATAAGATGTAGATTGATTCGTCCATAAGTTTGTAATCGAGTTGACTCTCTAGCCACATGTTGAGATATATCATGAGCTCTAAACGAGCCAGTTCACAAGTTTAGCTCAACAAGTCACCGAGTCGAGCTATCTCGCGAGCTTCACAAACTGACCAAAGCTTAGCTCATGTTCGGCTCGTTTATTAACGAACCGAGTTTCGAACTAGATTTTTTCGAGTCGAACGCCGAACCGCTCGACTCATTTACAACCCTAAGTGGGACCAATAATACATGTGTCATGTTACGTGAGGACTGAGGAGAGGTCCAAATTGTTATCACTAGTTTTTTTAATGATACAGTCGTCATCATTTCTAACAAAAATTATAGCATAAAATGTCGAGTCTGAAACAGCGACACAAATCCTCCATACAGACACATCACAAAAACATGGCCTAATACATGAACTGCGAGATCCGGCAAGAATTTTCTCTATATGCGTGCTCTCCAGTTCATAGAGCATTATGGATATAATGTTTGAGAGTGTTGAAAATCCCAAACCACCGGATCCATGTACACAGCTGCATACGAAATAGAAAAATCTACGTCAACAAAACCACTAATATGAATCTTGTTGGATTCATGAAGAATTAGAATGATTTACGTAACAACATTCCTAAAAATGTAACACAAAGAACCCCAAAACCCGGACGTACAGAAAGAAAAGATTCTGCACAAGGAGAGGCACGGCGCCATCTTAGGAGCCTAGCGTTGCTGCAAGTCCTTAACTACATGTGCTGTACACACCAGTCATCATGTTCAAAAACTTGAGCACCACAAAGAAATTCCCCATCGCGGGTTAAGGTAAAAACTAATAACCAAAGTGCTGCACCAGAAATTAGCAGCATCTTCAATCTTTATGTGTTTGCTTGTATGACAACAGTATGCGGACCGGTGCTTTTGCTTTCATAGTGAACACTGTTCCCTCCGGCCAAGCCAAATTTACCTCAACAAAGTAGAAGATGGCCCTTCAACATTGGCATTATGCATATGCATAAACGCATGAAAGAGTCCGGCAGCAATTGCATGATTCTGCAGGAGAGATTATAACCAAACTTGTCGAAATGGCCCAATTACCGTCTCAATGTTGTTGACTTCAGTAGCCATGTAAGGTGGGTTAGATGCAAAGAGCTACTGCCAACCATACTGTTGGTTGCGGTTTGAACCACCACGCCCAGCACCGGAACCCCCATAAGGACCAGGACCAGGACCACCACCTTGAGGAGGATAATTCGAGCCATATGGTGGGGGGCCTCGGGCTTGTGGAGGAGGATATGGCCCACTACCGTAACCACGATTCGGGTGACCTTGATGATACCGGCTGCCTGGCCCACCACCAGCAGGGCCACGAGGCTTACCATAATGGTGCCCTGATGCTGGAACTGGAGGCTGAGAACCATGCATGGGTTGATTCCTCATTTGTGCATTATGCCCAGATTGCTGAATCGGAGGAAGGCCGCGGCTAGGATGATGCTGTAGCTTCTGACGCTTTGCGTTCTCTTCGTGCTGCTGTCTTTGCTGCTGCCGCTTTTTCTTTGTCTGGAACTCGTGCGACGACTCGTATTTGGGCAAAGTCTTTGGATCACAAGGCAATGGGTCGGTCCAGAAATACTCGGCATCGAGCGCATCCTTGGCAGATATCCTCTGATATAAGTTTTGACAAACATTAAGCAATAACTCAATATAAATTTGATTAAAACAAACATTATCAGCCACACCAAAGAAGGAATATCAAGCTCAAGCCAATCGAAGTCAAGTTCACAATCTCAGGTAATACAAAGTTTGAGCACTCATTAAGGACTAAGGAGGTAAAAGAATGCAATAAACATACCTGCTCAGGATCAAGAGTTAGCATTTTTTCCAGCAACTCCACAGCATGTCGATCACCACAACTGCAACACAGAAACAGATGATAAGAGAGTCTTAACCATAATGCACGCAAAGTGAAGCTTAAAAAAACGTGAAGCACAATGCACAATATATAGGCAATACTAAGATAGGTGATGACGCTCACTCTCTGAAAAAATCCCCGAGTCGTCTCTTGATTGGCCTTGAAGGCTTGAAGTTGTTATACAAAGGAAGCTTAGAAACAGTAGGCCAGTTAACCTCATCGGGTGATCCGCAAAGCTCAAAAATCTTGCTTATTAGTTCAGGCTGCAACAATCAGATGACCAAGAAACAGGTAGATTGAACCCATTTAAATCAAAGAGCTGCCAACTGCTCACACAGGGGGAAAAAAAATTACATGGCCATCTCTCTTACGATCTTTGTCTAACTAACAGACACAAATTTGTTCAAGTGAAGAACTATTACCATACCTCAAAGCTCCAACACAAACATAAACTGATCCTCAAATACTAACAGGAGATTACCCGTGGACAAAACGAATCACATTGCCTCAATTATTTCCATATAAATATGAATAAATAATGTAGATGATTAGGATTTAGCAATCAACACCACAAATGCAGTTACCTCATTACTCCCAGGGAATAAGGGTTTCCCATGGAGAAGCTCGGCAAAGATACAACCAACAGACCATAGATCAACAGCTGGACCATACTTAGTTGCTCCAAGGAGCAACTCCGGAGGTCTGCAAATAACCGGTACATATTTCTTTGTTACAGTTTTCTCACATTTTCCCATCCTTAGACCAACAGAAAGATAGTGGTTGTCTTTTGGAAGTCATGTTGAGCTAACCGAAACAAACTCTTTAAGGAAGGAAAGATATACCTGTACCATAAGGTAATAACACGATTTGTAAGATTTGCATTATGATCACTCGAGAATGAGCGAGCAAGCCCAAAATCTGCAAGCTTTAGGTTGCCCTCATTGTCAATGAGAAGATTAGAACCTGCACAAAAGAACACAGTGATGCCCTGTTTCCCTTCGCTACATCAGCTGAAATGTACTGTTTGGTTTCTTTACCTTTGATATCACGATGAAGTACTTGATTTACATGGCAATAATGAAGCCCGGTTAAGAGCTGCCTCATGTAGCACTAAAAACGAAAAGTAAAAAAAAAAAAAAAAAAAAGAGAGAGAACAAAACAATAAGGGACGATGATGGGTCGATTTCAAACATCACCTAAATTTTTACATTCACTATGAAACAAATCCACGCAGTCGTCAAGTTCCTGAATACCTTAATTTGAGGAACTGAAAATCTCATTCCAGGACGATCTGCAAGGCCAGTTAAATCATGATCCATGTATTCAAATACCATGTAGATGCCACCTCTATACTTGTTACCATCTGTACCCATGCAAAACACAGTGGTCAGAAATCATACAGCATCTTGGAAGATACAGTTTTTATATTGCTTTAGATGTGAATGTCAAATAGACATTCAAACATAAGTGCAACTGACACTAGCTTAAAAAAACTATTTTAGGAGAGATCAGCCAAAAGACAAATGTTTTGACATAAAAGGAAGGAAACTTGCCAGGTCTTCCTTGGTCTTCCTTCTCAGGACCTGTAACGTAATAACAAGAACTTTAGATAGCTACACAAACAAATCAAAAATTCCAAGTAGGTGGTTAACGGTGTACTTTAGATAGCTACGGGGAAACTGGAGGCATCAAAAGCAATAAAACATCCAAAACCCCAACAAGATTGGCAGCATTACCTGGAGATGTCACTATCTCTTTCAACTTTATTACGTTATCATGTTGGAGCTTCTTTAGAATTTTGATTTCACGAATGGCAGTTATAGGAAACTTCAAAATAAGAACAAAAAAAGAGTTGCATCATTAGTTATACAGGGGTAGCAGATTAGTTTCATCTCATCACCATAACACTAGAGATTCAAATAAAGTTTATGGTCTAAAAAGCATTACCAAGAAAATGCCACTACACCTAGCAAGACATATAACTTACCCCTTCTCTCTCCTTGTCCATTCTTATCTTCTTCAGAGCAACTATTTCTCCTGTTGCTATCTCACGAGCCATGTAAACTTGACTGCAAGAAGAAGATAATGTTGCAGTGTCAATATATTATATGTGTGCACTAGAATCAAACAAGTTCAAGCTATCTCTTCACTTAACATAACATTAATGCATATTCCAAGAAAAGAAGAGTGATGAGCCATTCAAAATCCTTTCCTCCCAAACAGAGTAGTTATCTTGTCCCATATGCAAACCTAAAGATAGATGGTAATCTAGATTATAGAGTACTAAGCTCAGCTGATTTACTCAATAGAACATCACCAAAGAAAGTAGAAAAAAAACATGGAACATTTTAGCAAGACAATCCTGAACCATGCTAGAGAAGTCATTCATCAAAATATGTTGTCAAGGAAAGATCTCTACAAAACCACTGGAAAGGGTGAAGTTGTTCCCATCAGGACACAGCAAATTGTCGAAAAGGCAATGTTCATGACTGGATACAATCAGTCCCCTTTATCTTCTGACGAACATCTTCTTTGAAGAAACGAGATGAAAGAGAACATACCCATAGGTTCCCTCGCCAATTTGCTCCAACTTCTCAAAGTTATCAACAGTTCGGGATCCCCATGAAGAATACTCGGTCAGGTTGAGCTGACCAGGGGCTGCAATCGACATTACTCTTCAATCGCTACGAACCTAAAGAATTTATTCACTTATTCTTCTTCTTCTTCTTCTCCCTCCTGTTCAGCCAATAGATTGTAATTTCCAAAACCCTAAAGTAGGTAAAAAGGTTCACAAAAAGATTGCGGGAACTTTGGGGTTTGGCAGTAAGAAGAGAATATTCCAGAGATTACCTGTGACGAAGTCGCGAAGGAAGAGAAGACAGACAACGCAGCAGCTTGCTCGGTTGCTTCGTAATCGGAAGCAACAAAGGCGAAACGTAGCTAAAAGACACGATCAGGACTCCAGAGACCAGAGTCAGTGGCGAAGACGATTTCCGCAAGGAATTCAAGCCACGGGAGCAAGAATACCTTATTGAAGGGTAGCTGAGAGCTACGGGCTTTTTCACGAATTGAGAGATAGCCCACAGCCACAGCGGCGGCCGGCAGGAAGAGGGGAATGGACTGGCCGAGGCGGAGTGCAGAGCGACTGCCGGAACTGGCTTCCGGCTCTCGCGTCTTCCGTATTGTCACCCCCGCTTCGGGAAGGACTGCTCGCACTCGACGATTCACCGTCGAATTCAAGGATCGAATAGACAAATCGCCCGTCACGGACTCGCGGTGGTGGCGGGAGATACAGGTTTAGGGGATTCCGTATTTCCGTATCTTCAAAATATCACACAAATTAGTTCACGCACAAAAAAAACTTAATAAATCAATTTTTTATTTTGTAGGAAAAAAGATAATTAATTTAGAAAAGGCTCAAAAAAATTTCTCCTACAAAAATAAAAACAAGTGCAACGGAGAACTGATTGCTGAAACCGAACTCCTTATTCTTTGTGTATAATTTTCTCATACTTGTTTTATAATTTTCATTTTATTATTATCATTATTTATTGTTTTCCATATCTTTTTTCTCTATTTGAGAGTGTATCGTATTTACTATATGTTTTCTTGTATTTTTGGATACTCTCTCCGTTAATTGCATTCGGCATATGGCATTGTACTATTGTAGAGTTACTAACTCCTAACTCATATATTCTACTTCCCTAAAAAAAACTCATATATTCTACTGACAATCATTACGTTTTGATTTAGATCAAAATAAAAGTACATGTTGTTGCATTTGAGGTTAAAATGCGAGGTTTCTAGTTCTCAAACCAAAACAGATCTAAATTGATGATTGGATATATTGTCTATACTTGTCTATGTTTATAATTTTTTTTGTCTCCTTCAAAACTAAAGTGTGGTAAAACAAATATACTTTTACATTTTTTCCTCAACTTTTGACCTCACCCATCATGGTGATCCTTGTATAAATATTTGTTATCTTATTCCATATAAACCATATCCTGATTAGTACCGAACATAGCTCATCATCTATATCTCTCTTGATTAGGGATGGCAACAAAACCCGAACCCACGGGTACTCACCCGACCCAACCCGGTCAATGCGGGTAAAACCCGTGTTGAAGGGTTTTGGGCCGGGTTTGGGTTTAAACCCACTACACTATTCATCGGGTTGAGTTGGGTTTGGGTTTAGGTAAACCCGACCCATGGGTACCCGCCCACACCCATATAATTAATTTTTCCGGGTTATTTGCGATATATCTTTCTTAAATAACTAATCTTCTTTATGTTTGTGGAGACATGTCTAATTTATTCTTTCAAATTGTGTACAATGAAGTTGATATTAAGGAGTGGAGAGTGAAGAAGTTTAGTTGACAAGGAGGAAGGAGCTTTCAATTAATCATGTTGTTTATAGATGTTTATCTTTAATTTGAACAATTTGTATTGATAATTTCGGGTTTGCTTGTATGCTCTAGATTAGTGTTTTTTGTAAGGATAATTTTTATGAGAAAATTGATGTTAGACTTTTATTTTGAAAGAAATATTTTATTGTAAATTTTTACCACAAAAATCCACGGGTACCCATGAACCCGCGGATACCCAGCGGGTTGGGTTGGGTTCGAGTTTTCCAAACCCAGCAGGTTTTACCCCGGGTTTTTTTGACGGATAAACCCATGGGTTTGGGTTCGGGTTTGGCAAAACCCGCCCCAACCCGACCCATTGCCATCCCTACTCTCGAGTAACTCACAAGCTTGATCTTCTCTCAACCCGAAAACACACGTATAGTGTTTGGTTGACTGCGAGAAGAGAAGAGAGAGGGAAAAGAGGGTTTGGTTAGAGAGAGGAAGATTAGCTTTATAGAATTTTTATTTTCTAATTGTTTAATGAGAAAATTTAACTAATTACAGAATATGAACTCCGTTAAAACCCCACAAACTACCGCATACGAATATTTCCTAACCAAAACACTCAAACACTCCCAAAAACCCCTAAAATGCATTACTAAGTAATAAAACATAAATAAACTGACAAATTAGTCCAAATAACAAAATTACTCAAACTCATTTTTCTAACAGATCTTCCAATTCCCGCAATGTATTCTCGCTCTTCCTTTTATCTACCCCACCAGAATTAAGCTATTAGCTTTGAATTTCCTTAACGCTCGGATGAGGAAAACTAACATAGCATACATGTGAGATTTTGTGCAATCGCCTTAAAGTCAATCAATTGACTTCCAACACTACAAATTTACTCAAGTATGCATCCGACACACCAAGCTTATCATAAATTTTGGATGGAAAATGTAAGGAATGTACTAAGGGGTCGTTTGTTTGAGTCATTTGTACGAGTCATTTGGTATCAAATGATTCAATTGAGTCATTTGATGTCAAATAACACGTTTGCCAAAGAAAAAAATGCATGAGTAATTTCGTTCATACGAAAGTCTCAAATGACTCATGGTTTAGTCCAAATGTTCCAAATATGTCCTTACTTATTTTATGTAAACTCACTTCAATCCTTCTCTTTCGATTATTTGTTTTCTACGCCATTGCTTAGTCTTCTCTCGGATTTTTCCCTCCCAAATTACACAAGCAACACAGAGGGTCATCTACGCAGCGGCGTATCTTTTACGTCACAAAGTCACAAACACCATCATTTGTAATTAGCTTAAAATTCGAGAGTGATGGAGACGTTACATTTTATAAAGAAAATTAAAAATAGATTTATTATTTAAAATTAGAAAGTAGTATTATACATGACAAACACCCAAATAATATGTTTTGTTGATTTCAAAATAATTTTGTTTACGTGGTTGGTTTTATTAGAATAGAAAACAAGATAATGTAACATATTGATTAAAAGTAAGGGCAAAATGATGACTTTAAACAAATGACTCATTTACAAAATTTTAAACAATAATGCATCTTAGCTCATATTAATTAAACGTTCATGGATGATCCCCATTACATCAAAAGAAAGTCAGTGGCTAAGCCCCGAGTCAAAAATATCAAAACAATAATGCATTTGTTATGTCTACCTTCACAAATTTCTATATTTCCCAAAGGACTATATTTGGTCAAATGACTTATTTTGCAAATGACTCATGCAAACAATAAAAGTAGACCCATATAACGGTCACATCCACCTCTTCCCTCCACTTTTTACTCAGCACTGCATCTCAGTTTCACCTCTCTCCAAACTTCCCTACAATTCACCTCATTTGGTGTGAGAATGAAGAAAGCCGCAGGAGAAACTACAGGTGGCAGCTTGCCAGCTTCCATTGCGTTCATTGCAGCGTCAATATTGGCATTCTGGTTGTTGAAGAAAGCCAACAAGACACGATCAGCCCCTTTGCACCCCGGCCCACGCGGATTACCAGTAGTAGGGCACTTACCATTTCTAGGCACCCATCTCCTCCACAAGAGCTTCATAGACCTGGTTCGAGTTTACGGCCCCATCTACAAGCTCTGGCTGGGTCACAAAATCTATGTCGTGATTACCTCACCATCGCTGGCCAAACGAGCTTGCGATACGTAACATTCCCAGACCTGATTGGAGGAAGCTGCGGAAGGTCTCGCTCGAGAGATATTGAGCAGCTGCAGGCTCAATGCTTCCTACAAGCTGAGAAGGCTATTGAGGATGTGGACCAGAAGGACACAGGTAAGGTAAAGATTTGGACTTCTCAGCCAATTGGCATTTGTGATTGTGACCATATCCAACTCTCTTTTTAGCATGCCATGGGATAGCACCACACATGGAGACCTGATTTCAGCACTCGGACGGTTTGACCTGCAGAGGGTTGGGAGGAAATCCAAGGAGACATTGCAGAGTTTGGATCGAACTCTGAGCTCCACAATTGTGGAGAGGCAGAAGCCAAGGAAAGGTGGTGACGACAACAGCGTCGACAAAGAGGCACAAGACTTATTGCAACTTCTACTAGACCTCAACAACCATGGAGATCAGGCTGCTGATTCGTCAATTACAGACAACCAACTCAAAGGCCTTCTTATGGTAAAGTGTGTTTAGGCGATTTCATTCCTTTAATCTTCTTAAGTGCAACTGAACTTAGCTAAATATTCCATTCAAATTGAAGGACGTAACAGAAAAGATGACTAAGCGTATACCAATGAACAATGTCTCTGTAGCAGGATTCTATCATCGGTGGAACAGACACAGCATCGACCGCAATAGAGTGGACAATGACAGAGCAGAGCTGATGCAATATTCGAACGCAATGCGAAAAATATGCAGAGTTAGAAGAAGTAGTAAGAAGAAGCAATGTCGTGGAGGAGTTCCATCTCCCCAGATTACACTACCTAAATGCGGTTATTAAGGAGGCATTCTGGCTGCATCCAGCCATGCCTATGTTGGTGTCACGTCCTACCACGGACTGCAGAATAGGTAGATAAACCATTCCTAAGCGAGCCACCGTGTTCATCGTTGCTTAATTGCTTATGCAATGTACAGGGATCCACAGCTCTGGGAGGTACAGTCCATTGGAGTTCAGGCCAGAGATGCTCAATTACATTCTAGCATCACTGCTCCACTCATTGGAATGGAAGCTAGCTCATGGGTCGACAGAGGTGGATTTGACTGATAAATTCAGAATCGTCATCAAGTTATACAGAGCTAAACTATAGCTAGAACCCAAATGAAAACAATGTCTGAAGTTCTATGCTTTCTATTGTAAAATCATCACTGCATATAAATTATCCATCCAAGCTATCTTAGCCTGCAATGGCTTTCCCCAGAATCAATGCAAGTTCAATTACTTAGGGAAAGTAGTCAATCGATTCCAATTTAATTCAACAAATAACGAGGAACAGAGCTCTGGTCAATTCCATCAATGGAGTTTCCATGAAAAGGATCCAGATTTGCAGAGAGAAATGCAATGGCTGTTATGTATTGCATCAGAGAGATATTCACAATAGCATTTATATGGTGATTCCTCCCGTCAATTGAAGGGGAGGAAAACAGAGAAGGAAAAAAGGGGGAAAATGGCATGGAAAATCAAAACTGAAGAAGAATTTTTTGGATACCTACAGATCTAGGTTTTTGCCGCCGCCCGGGGGGAAAAAAAAGCTAGGCCTTCACAGCTCCCGGATCTCCTGTAGAATCCCATCTCGATCCCATCGTCATCATCATCTTAAACTCTTCGAAATCAATCGTCCCGTCGCCATCATTATCGACGCCGCTGATCATCTTTCGGCACTCGGCGATGGAGCAATCCTCGCCCAGGCTGCCCATGACCTTGTGCAGCTCCTCCGCGGTAATCGAGCCGTCGCCGTCGATGTCGTAGACGGAGAACGCGTCCCTCAGATTCACCATCGCCTCCTCGGAACCGACCCCCTGAGTATTCAGCTCCACGAACTCCTTGAAATCGATGAACCCATCGCCGTCGGCGTCGAACTCGGTGATCATTTTCTGGAGCTCCTCCTCGCTGGCGTTCTGGCCGAGGCTGGACATGATGGAGCCGAGCTCGGCGGCGGATATCTTGCCGTCACCGTTGACGTCGAACTTGCGGAAGACTTGCTCCAGCTCCTCGACCGAGCACCTCAGCATCGGCGGCGGCGGGGAGCGAGATCCGGCGAAGGAGGCCACCGCGGCGGGGGAGTCGTCGGAGGAGGCGGATTTCTTGGACTTCTTCCGCTGGAAAAGAGCGCGGAAACCCATGATCGGGAGAAGTTCGTTGGCAGCTGCGGCGGTGGATTGGGAAACGAAATCGGGAGGAGGGGAAATGGGAAAGGAATTGGATTCCGAATTTTCGCTGGTGGAGTAGTAATCGGAAGGATAACGGAAAATGATTGGGGATTTATTTTTCTCGGTAGAACGAATTTTCTGGTTGGTTTTCTGGGACAGAGGATTTTCTTTTTTTAAATATATATTTGGTTTGATTTTGGTGCCAGGTTTTCAGGAGGGAGAGAGAGAAGAGGCAACCGCCGATTGGACTGGAAATCGTTCCACAACCACAAGGCTAAATCAGCGAGAAGTACGAAAGTGTAATTTAAAAAATTAATCACGGAGATTAGCCTTTGTTAATCTCATGATTTGATCATTTTCTGCCAAAAGGAACTTTCCGGGATGAATGATTTGTCCGCATAACAAGGGAAGGGTTCCCACGTTGTTCTAATTAACATGCTAATCAATGCTCTAACTAGAAAAAACTAATATTTTAGGTCATACATGTCGATATTGCACTAGATATAATTCTTAGTTGAATGCACATCATTCAGCATATTATGAGGTTGAACAAATATAATATTTATTCGACTAAATTTTTTATTTAGATGATTCAAATACATGACTCTTTTTTTTTTTTTTTAGAACATGACTCTCATTGCGATAACAAGATTTTACAGGTATGTGCCAAAGAATCTATTATGAACATTTATTGTATATATATTATACTAGTATCATCTCTATTTATGAATCTCATCGCAAATGTTATATTATTTGTATTGGTGAAGCTAAATATGTGTATGTGATCGACATATGATTTTATAAAAGATAAATAGATTTTTGGTATGATTTTGATATTAATTATCAAGCTATTTTAATGACGGATAGATGCACATACATTTGTGGGTAATCTGATCTCATACATACATGAACAAACTAATAGAGCATTGCAATTTGGACCTACAATGCTACACCATTGTTGATCACCACCAATATAGTAAGATGTGAAAATTTCTAAACACATACCTTACTAGTCTCATTTCTTGACAATTTACTGGCTTCACAATTTTAACCTAGAATATTTCAAACCATCTTTTAGATCTTACACAATACTTTCAACTACCAAATCAAAGTATACGAGTGACCATATATGGGATATTGGGGATGGAGCAAACTGTTGGGATCCATTGGATCTTTGAAAATTTGAAATGATTTTTCATTCTATATGTAATGAATGATTTATTTAATTTCCTAATAACCGGAATTTTTTTTATTTATTTAATTTCTTAACTTAGATTATGAATTCCGAGTTGGAAGACATGTGTCAAGCACTATCTTATTGGTATCATTTTTTAACTGAATGTTAATTGCTCTACTACCATGCATATTTAATGCGAAATGTCTCCGGAAACTATACAAGAATGGCCAAATCGGTCAAACACGTTATCCTCTATCCTCCATGTAAGACCGATATTTATTTAATAAGTACTAGTCTTCATTACCCGCGCTCTGCGCTGGGATTTGAGGCCTACTGAAGATATATAATTGGATCATTTTGTGTTTCAAGAGATATATATCATGATATGACTGATTTAATGTTGGTTTAGCACTGATGGTTTACATTATCAGTTTAAAATCTTAAGGAAGCCACGAAGAAGAGAATTTTCACAATGGTATACAGTTGTTGGATTGTGCTGCAAAAAAATGAGCAGCATCAGGTTCTATCGTATGTATGATCAAATGAAGAAAAGACCAAATCACAACTTGTAAGATATCAGTCCTCTGAGAAATTTTAAAATCTTTTAGACTATTTACAAATTGTGGTTTAATATGTAAAGCAGAAATATAGTAGAGACAAAATCCATATACAATTGTTCACATCAAATAATACTAAATTTTGTATTGAAGAACTTCTGTTACAAAACCAAATCCAGACAAATCTGGAAAATCTCGTGGGGGATCTAACCCACTGGTAAATATTGTGCAACTAATTTGACCATTTAATAACCAAAACTATCTTCGAACACCTGCATATAAGATAACAGAAAGGAACAAAACTTCAATTGCTGCTCATTAGTATTCTCAGAGAAGAAAGGTAAGGATTGTCACAAACTAAATGAGATGACACTAATATATTCAAACACTCAAGTAACCACTGATTTGTAACTCTTTTGGATGGCCATACATTCAGAACACAGGTAATATCATACTGGATCAGTGGAACTATTCCAATCACAAAATGAAGTTCCCTAACCATCCATCCACAACCTAGCAAATTTATTTGTAAAGAAAGTAATACCAACAACTTTAAAAGGGAAAAATAACATGGACAGTAAAGCTAATAGAGAAAAATCCCCCACCCTCAATCCGTAGCTTACCATTTAAACATAAGAACGCATAATCTACAAATAGAATGAGAAGAAATAGAGCAGTTAGTATCACACCATTATCAGCAAATCCAATGACAAAAGCTTCGGAGGAATAGTGACAAATCACATGAAACCATCAAAGTAGCTTAGAAAATAATTCCGAGAAGGGTCACATCACCACCACCATCATACGTACAACCAACCAAACAAATATCAGATAACAAAAGGAAAGTACGAAATCGAAATCGGAACCAATTCGGAAAAGAAATCATCGGAGTATATACATGACAGTTGGAAGGCAAAAACACAGGGTAAAAGTCAGAAAAAGGCAACGTACCAAATGGTGTGCCTGAACTTTGGCGTCTGGAAAACTGGTGGCGATGTTGTAGGATTAGGAAAGATCAAACCAAACCCAAACATTTGCTTCCAACAAAGGCTACTGCAATAATTCGGCAGAGAGGATATATAAGATTCATATATGAGAATCGAAGATGCTCAAGAAAAAGCGACCACTACAAACCTCACCATTAAATATCTTCCTGGGGCTCCTCCCAATTTTTTGACTTTTACCATCACCATCGCAGCTTCAACAAACGCCGAAAATCAATTAGTCTTCAACGTCTGCATCGACGCCAAAGAAAGAGTCCCCACCGACTTGACCTCAGCGAGGAGAGGAGAGGAGAGGAGAGGAAGAGACCAAACCCATGATAGATAGAGCAACCACCCGAAGAATAAAATTTTCCCTTGAAACATGCAGATCCATCGACCAGTTTGCGCCTTCCTCTTGTAGATAATGCAGCGGTAACAAAAAATGGGTTCCCCATCTTGTCAATCTCCTGTAGGAGTTCGATTTTAACAGCCCAACTCACAACGCTTCAAACCGAATGCCATAGGCTGGGAAAAGCTTAATGAACCATAGCATTTTTGAATCTGTAAACACCCCTAGATGTCGTCGCTAAATCGCCCGCCCGAATTTCCTCTAAAAGAACCCGACAGGTCTAGAAGATGAACAAACTGCAAAAAGAGTGAAGAGGATAAATCAGGGAGAGGATAAATCACCTGAAATCAAAGACAGAACCGGCTTGCCTGGATCTTACCCGGATCCTTACCGGAACTCTCAAAACCGCCTCTTGATCGCTTTCAAATCCGCCAATCTCCTAAGAAGAGAGACCAGAAAAAGCAACATAGATAGGAGATGGAAAGAAAGAGAGAGCGAGAAGTAGATAAGATAGAGGAGTGAAAAGAGTTCTGAATTCTTGTCTTTAATTTACACAATCTGCACTCCCTCCCTTATCCTGATTTGACCCACTTTCTCTCTTGGCAACCGGGTTGAATTAGGTGGAATATGTGGTAGAAAAAGGGGCACAACAACCAACGGCGGGCTTCCCAACTTTGCCAACCCCAAGGTGAGAGAATTCGCCGAGCGATCAACGCGTGAGAGGGGACGTAAAGTAACCGTAACCAAAAAGGAAACTATGGTAAAAACGCAACTGACCCACCTAGTTTCATTCATTTCCAATGAGCCCTCACTAAATGGCCGCCCACACCCAGATCCCTTCCCAGTCGAAACAGTAATTATGAGTCACTAAGCATAGAAAAAGGTCTCTTGGGCTACACGGAATGGGGATGTTGGGGGATTTATTTTTTCAATGATATATGTTGGGGGAATGGCTCGGCTTCGTCTGCTCCATCAATCAACGCGGCCATAACGACTCGGTAGGAAGAGCGCCTACAATGTCTCACTCGCGAAAAACAGAACAAGTCATACAAATGGCAACGCGACGCGGGGAGCGGCATTTGTCCCGTGCGGAAAGACAGCGCGGATCACTAAGAGGAATGGAAGCGCGCCAACGCCGTCCGCGCATAAGTTGCGGAGACACCGCTCCAGTACCGCCAGTCGCCAAGAAGAGCGGGAGCGCGACAGCGCCATCCGCGTGCGAGGCTCAGAAACGACACTTGGCGACTGACAAGGCTACCCAACCCTATTCTTAGACCACATCATACCCTAAACCCCTGTTTTTCCCAACTGTCGTATCATCTCAAAAGCCCACCCACCGAGTGATAGCCTATAAATAGAGCATTTACCCCGATGAGTGAGAGAGAGGATTTCTCTCTCTCGTGAGAAACTCTAAATATCACCACTCTCCCCCTGGCTTTAAACCTTGTAAGCTTGTGATCAAGTAAAGGAAATAAGCGTAAGACTTCTTAGTTGTACTCGCACCCCACTTACTTATGTGTTTCACTCCTACTCTCGCTTAGACACAAACAATATATATTTAGTTTTTTAGTTTAGTTACTATTTAAGGGATTTGAATCGAAGACCTTTAGATAGAGACTTGTAGTATTATCACTAGAATAAGTATTCACAATCAAATGAAGAAGACAACTTGTCTCAACTGTCCCTTTTTCCGTTCTCTTTATAGTTTGCGGAGCTCTCTCCATATCCTAGTCAAGTACATCAACTTGTCTCAACTTGAATATCTGACTACTTTGATGGACAACCGACAATGTGGTGGTCAAGGTGTAGTGATCAATCCTACTTGTCATACTTGACTAGTAAAAATCTTCAGGAATCTGAATCTCTTAATATTGAAATTGGTAATAGATTAGATAATGTCAATACGAAATCCTTCCCACTTTGGATTCCACATTGTCATTTAAAGCAAACAATGCAAATGTGTTTTTTTTCCTGTGAACACCATTGTTTGCAAGTTCTCAAAAGCTAGGTATTACTTGTACAAGACATTAGAAAGAAGTACACGTAGATGTTTGTCTTGCAAGATCGAAAATTGCAAATGTGGTAAACAA